TGCTGTGCTGATTTTCAGGTGTTAGCACTTGGGGGAGCTGCTCTGCCCCTGCCTGCTGCAGGGCTCAGCGGGGGTTGTTTACCCCGTGGGGCCCCAGGAGGATCAGCCGCAGTTGCTATGGCAACTCTGGAAGCCTGGATTCAGCCTCCGCAGGAACTACGGGGCTCGGGGCTCTCGGCTCTCCGTCCGCAGGGCCTGGAGGCTCCGGGGCGGGGCCGCTGATCTGCTCAGCTCGGGGCAGGAGCGTCCTCGCTGTCCTGGGCCCTCCCGGCCTCTGCCTGTCCCGGGGGAGGCCGGATCCTGGGCTGTGTCCCGGCGCCCTGTGCTCCGGGGCCTGCGCTGGTGGATTCGCGCTCCCGCCCCGCAGCCCCCTCCGCGGAGCCGCAGCCCGAGCCCCTCCGAGCTGCTCTGGTCGGTCCCGCCGTGCGCGCTGCAGCCCTTAGGGAGCTCGGCGCACTCTCCCGGGGCGCAGGTGTCTGTTAGTGTCCCCGGGAGCCCGAGGGCATCCCCGCCCTCCTGGGTCCTGCTCCAACTCCCTGCGAGCCCCTTTCCGCCCGCCCGGGAAGGTTGGTGCAGCTCCTGCTCCTCCGGGACGGGGCTCTCCTGTCCTGGGGACACTCGCCCCGGCCTCAGCCCGGCTCCTCGCGGGGCCCCTCCCCCTCGGAGGCCTTTTGTTCCTTTATTTCTTTTTCCCCGTCTTCCTACCTGATAGAAGCGCGGACTCTTCTCACTGTAGCATTCCAGCTGGTCTCTCTTTACATCTCAGGCCGAATTTGTAGATTTTCAGGATGGTTTGAAGGTCATCTAGGTAATTTGGTGGGGACAGGTGATTTGGGGACCCTGCTCTTCCGCCATCTTGCCCCTCCCCCAGTGTTTCAATTTCTATATGATGCATTTTAATTTTATTCTAGACTCTATTGCACAAAACCCAAACTTAATAAGCCATATATTTGCTACTTTGAGACTAAGCTTAATGTGAAATTTGGAGAAGTTACTAAATTGTTAGAAAGCAGAAATTTCACTGTGACTTTTTTCAGTTAAGACTATCTGACATTGATTTGATTTGATTTCTAAAAAAAAAAAAAAAAAAAAAATGCATTGAAATCCATGACAGACATGTTATTTGTGGAGAGTTTAATAACATAAAGAAGCAAGAAAATCTGAGTCTGTGGAAATAATTCATTTGACCTCTACTGTTCTTCCATGTACCTCCAAAGCACTACTCCACTATTTTTTTTCTCTTAAATTGTGACACCTGATACTGAAATAATGTAGTCTTATAGTTCAAAACACAAAAATCAGTCAGGCACTAAGGTTATTGCAATTTTTAGCTTATTTGCTAACATTTTCCTTCTGCTCCATGTTTATTTTTTCTTCTTTTGCTGCCCCTGACTCAATTTCAAGAGATCCTGTATTTTTTTTTCTCTTTCAAGCTTACCAACAAGGGTAAGACCTGTTCTGAAGTTCAAGAGAGGGTACTGAATGGATATGACAATGCATTTGCTGAAAATATAAGACATGTGCTTAAAAATGATTATTACCTGCTTTTATCAAGCTTCCAGAACTCCTAAGTTCACACCTTCAATTCCAAGTAGTTAGATAGTAAAATTGATGTGAAAGAGTGAGAAACTAGATAATTTCCTTAGAGAGAAAAATCCTTTTGCTAATAATTAAATTCTCTCCACGATGCATACCTTTCTTAGCATTTCCAGCATTAATGTTGCTTCATGACATTTTAACTATGTAATAATCTCCACATTATAAGAATATGCTCAGAGTTTAAATCAATCCTTAACAATTAACAAGATTTTATTGAGCACTCACTATGTGCCTCTCACTGTGCTGGCCACAGTTAGGCCACAGAGATATTTAAGACATCTCCCTCTACTAGAGGGGATTAAGGCCTAGTTAGAGAGATTGATAAAATGAATGCTGAAAAATAAGTTGAGAACATTTACAGATGATTTGTAATGTGTTAAAGAAGAATAATGGCAATCACTACCCTTCAGTGGGTGCTTGTTGTGTCCCAGTCCTCCACTTAGGCACTTTAATGTATTGTTTGGGATTCTAGTTCCAAGGGCCATAAGAACTCAGAGAAAGTGAGATAAGTATAGGCAAGAATGGTTTGAAAAGAGGATGAGGGAGTGAGTTGCATTTAAGAGAAAGACTTGGACCTAGAAAGGTACAGAAGATGGGGAAGGCAGTCTTGACAGGATTGTCCGAGGAGCTTCCTGATAGAACCTGGGGCTTCAGAGTACTAAGCAGTAGGGAATGCGAAATATCCCCAAGTGTTTATGCCTCTCTCTTCATGTGCTTTGTCATGTGATTTGCAGTTGGTCTCATCAAGAGATAAGGTCTACTTTCTAAACTTTGAATACTTGTGACTTGCCTTGTGACTTGTTCGCTCTCATTTGGACCCTTGCCTGTTGCTATGGGGACAAGCCTGTGCCAATCCCACGGATCATGAGAGACCGTGTGGAGCAGAGCTGAATCAGCCAAGCTTCAGTCATCCTACACCAGCCAGCTCCATGCTGACCTGCCAGCTGGCTGCAGGTTCAGGAGTGAGCTCAGCCACAATAGCAATGATAGCTATTGAATATAAATAAGCAATTGAACTGAGAGTAAGGCCTTAGTTAAAAAGGAAAAAGAAAAAAATCCCCTTTGGTATATGTTCTTTACAGGCCTGCAGAACACCAAACTCCCATTTATTTTTTCTTGCTTCACTTCTTTGTTCTTTCTCAGTTTCCTTTGCTGGTTCTTCCTCCTAACGCTGGAGTGGCCATACCTAGTCCTGTGCCTTCCTTCCAGTAGCTTATTAGTTTCATCTGGCCACTCAGTTCTTAATTCCATGTATGTGTCTTCAACTCCAAATGCTAGATCTTTAGCCGAGATCTGTCTCACAAAATCCTATCAATTGCCTGCTTGTCATTTCCACTCAGAAGTCTAGGGAGCATCCTAGAATCAGGATATTCAAATCTGAGTTCCTGATCTTTCCTCCCATCCCTAGTCTACCATAGCCTTTCTCACATCAGTTTGTCAAGAATGTGTTCCTTCTACCCTACAGTGCAGGGATAGTTTTATCACTGAGGTTTTCCCAGCTCATAGAGCAGTGCTTGTCCAAATAGCCCTCTGTTAAATAGATGAATATCAGTTAAATAGATGAATGCATGACGATGTGATAGATATCAATGTTTTGGAAAAGGGACAAGAAAACCCAACCATCACAGGTATATTAGGTCTCAAGTCCTAATTGTTCTACTTGGTGGCATGATACTTTGGACAAGTTGTTTAACATGTCTGTGGTTCATTTCTCCCTCTATGAAATGGGGATAAATGACTACCTACTTCACTGGGCTATTATAAGGGCTCAAAGAGTAAATTTACATAAAGTAATTAGAGTAACACCTAGCACATTATAAATAATAAGTAGTACATTTTATTATCAACAGTACTGATCTCATAGATTTGATGTAAGCGTTGGGTGAAATAATCTGTGTAAAGTTCTTAGCACAGTACTGCTTAGTTGATGTTAGTCAATGATCTAGTTTCTATGTTTACAGAATAGTTGTTTTTCTTCCCCAGAATGCTGTTGAAAATAGCATACCACATTTAGTGTACATGTGTCTTTAAAATAGTCTTTCCTTTGTAGAAATCCATAATACGCCCCACCTCCACACTATTTATTGATTTAGGTAAGGTCTCCTTTTCAAGAACCTTCCTGGTTAATGGGTGTTGACCACTTTTCCTCTTTCCCTAATGTACTATCCCATGAGTATCACTTTTCTAACTAGCTACCATTAGTTTCTCTACTGAAAGGGTTGTGAGTGTTTAACTGCAGAAGTTAACACTGACCAGGAAAGACCCTGCACTTAATATGTTCTTTAAAAAGAGATTGGTAGTATTCTTTCATTATGGATTAGTCTTTTAAATCCTAGAAATTAGCTTAGATGGATAAAGGCAGAATAATTGGCATTTTCTTAGTGACTTTTACTTATTCTGTTTACTAAGCACAGTGGTTTCCAATACATATTTGCTATCAGGTCTAATCCTGAGAGAAAAGGAAGGCCCTTATTATGCTGCTAAGATTCATTACTTCAGACATTATGCTGAGAGAGAGCAGAGAAGGCACTTGGAGGGAATTGCTTTTCTATAGGTCATTGGAACATCTGATTATTGTTCTTTGTTTCATTGATCAGTATGGACTCTATCTTTGCAGATATGAACAATTACTAAATTCAGTGAAAAAAGATTAAAACCTCCACCAAGAACTAGAAAGATGATAAAAGAAGATCTCATTTTGCTATTCCTGGGAAGTTTCCCACTAACTGAATTGGTAGCTTTTCACTCATGCCCCTCCCCAAGTCTCCTGTGTGTTCTTTCTTCCCAGAAGAACTGAGTCTATGATATTTCAATTCCAGAAAATGATTTGTTATGCTAGCATGATATTTACTACCATTGCTTGATATTTAAGACACTCATTTTCCCAATCCCCTCATCAGAGTAGACAGTGCTGATAACCTTTCTAGAGGGCCTGTGTCACCATACACTGTACTGAATTCACAAATATGATCTCAATTTTTAAGTCAAGGTGAATGGTAAATGTTAGAAATCCATTATGCAGATATAAGTGCTAGTTGGTTAAAAGTGTCATTACATGAACAGACCAGAATTCATCAAATTTCACTGCTGAAGGAAGTTTAAGAGTTCTCCTTCCGTCAACTCTAACACCTTTGCTAATGTCTATATTGAAACCACCACTAAAATCAGACGTGTGGTGTGTGTGGTGTGTGTGTGTGTTGCAGGGAATATCCCAAGAAAAAAAGTCCAACCTCTTCATATATATGACAATTGTTAGTATATGAATGTAGACTTTAACCAGTTTCTTTTTTCAGAAATGAAAACCCAATTCTATTAAAAACAGGTACATAATTCACTGTGTGAAAAAAGCATTGAACTAACCAGAAGACTTGGGTTAACAAACTGTTTTTTTCACTTACCAGGTATGTGACCTGAGGCAAGTCACCACATCTCCCTGGGATTCATGCTAGAATAGTATCAATTAGGATAATTGAGAATCCATCTCAGGTAAAAAAAAATTACCACTCTGATTTCTCTATAACACTAGGACTTTTTGGTTCATAAACTTCTTCCAGTGGCCACTGCAGGCAACTAACTTGCCTCTGCAAGAAAAGATTTTGGGGAAATTTTTGCTAGATAGATAATCAATCCTGGAATAGAAATTTAATATGTTGATATTAGGCTGTTAAGCGTAAGTTTATATTTGCCACAATTATACTCATTCAAATGAAATACCCAGATTTTTTCTGCATTTGGCTATTAGTAGAAAGATGAAATATGGCAAGACAATTCAGATCAATGCCCTTTTCCTGAAATGGACCTTGCTTGGAGTCAGTGTACATCCAACTGGAGATAAATTGCTTTCTACTGCCTCCTCTCTCATCCTTTCTGCACGATGATTGTAAATGTTCAGAATGAAAAAATAAATAAATAAATAAATGTTCAGAATGATGACCTCTAGTTACTGCAAGATGTCCAGGCACCAAAAAAGTAAATCAAATAAACTATGCTTAAAATACTCCACCTATTAAGAAAGGGAAGTATTGAGCATCATAACAAACATGTTCAAAGGCACGTTTTATTTTATTTTTTTAAAAGATTTTATTTATTTATTCATGACAGACACAGAGGGAGAGGCAGAGACACAAGGCAGAAGGAGAAGCAGGCTCCATGCAGGGAGCCTGTCGTGGGACTCGATCCTGGTTCTCCAGGATCACACCCTGGACTGAAGGCAGCACTAAACCGCTGAGCCACCCAGGCTGCCCCTAACGGCATGTTTTAAAAAAAGATTACTTACTAAAGCAATAAACCCACAAATATTTATTGAACATGAATTTTTCTAGGTATTTCAAAGTTTGAGATATGGTTTTATTCTCAACATGTTTCTTTTTTTGTAAAAAAGCAATGTCAGAGTCGGAAAGAAAACTAATTAATAATGTTTATGGTTGCTGTGGTGAACTGACACTCATCATGTGTCATAAATTACTTCTAGTGTGATTTTCTATGCTACAGAATATAGAAGGTTAAAAACTACATTTCCTAGACTCTTTTCTTTTTTTTAATTTTTTTTATTTTATTTTTTTAATAAATTAATTTTTATTGGTGTTCAATTTACCAACATACAGAATAACACCCAGTGCTCATCCCGTCAAGTGTCCCCCTCAGTGCCCGTCACCCATTCACCCCCACCCCCCGCCCTCCTCCCCTTCCACCACCCCTAGTTCGTTTCCCAGAGTTAGGAGTCTTTATGTTCTGTGTCCCTTTCTGATATTTCCTACACATTTCTTCTCCCTTCCCTTATATTCCCTTTCACTATTATTCATATTCCCCAAATGAATGAGAACATACACTTTTTGTCTTTCTCCGATTGACTTACTTCACTCAGCATAATACCCTCCAGTTCCATCCACGTTGAAGCAAATGGTGGGTATTTGTCGTTTCTAATGGCTGAGGAATATTCCATTGTATACATAGACCACATCTTCTTTATCCATTCACTCTTTTCAAACTGGAGTGCTGGAGGCAAATTTGATTCTTACAATAAGAGGTATTACATGAGATTTGGAAGCCAGAAATTAGATAGTCGTCTCCTCATCACTGCCAGCTAGAAGCCAGGTTGTGGAGATGGGTTTTTCTGTAGCCACCTTGCAGTGTCCAGTCACTAATTTTGTGGGTCTGGAAAGACAGTTCAGGAGGTAGCATCATCTGCCAAAAATCTGAATTCCTGTTCTACAAATGGGTAATAAGTCTCATTCCCTTGGTTCCCTGTGCTGTGAACAGTGCAACAGATTTTCCTCTCATGGGCCAGTGAGGAGGTCTTGTTGGAGGTCCTCCTGGATACTTAGCCTAAAGCCTATCCTGCCTACCCTTGGAAAAATTCTGTGAGCACCAAATCTCTGCTTCTAAACCCCTTTCTACTTAAAATATCTAGAATAATTCCTGCTTGCAGCTGACTGACAAATATTTATAGACCAGTGATGCGGCAGCAGTTCAGAGAGGAGACTAAACAATGAAGATAAGATTATAAAGTAGGGTTTGATGGACGAGGCTGCATTTAAAAGGCTAGGTTAATGAAATTCTGATGATACTTCAAAATGTTTGGGTAAGATTTAAGTGTAGATTCATACGTGCACATTATATATGCAGTTGATTTGGGTTTTACATCAGACCGTCGATTAGAAGACCATGGAAGAAAAGAAAAAAAAAAAAAGATCATGGAAGATCCTGAGAGCCACTGCTTTTGGACGCTTTGTTTTACTAACTTTGATTTAAAGAGATTCTTAATTTTCTAGGCTCCAATGAGATTATCTCCAAAAGAGCAGTTTCTGTTGGTTTAGCCCCAGACCTCTATAGTAAATTTTGAATGATCAAAATGTGTTCCAGATAGTTTACGGATAATGTCAAGCCAGCAAAAGCCAGAAAACTATAGACTTAAGGATAAAAATTCTCCAGAGCCTGACCCCTTGTGCCAAAGTGCTATAAGTATTGAAGTTTGGTCTTGTGGCTTTAAGGCCACAAATCACAAAAGGTCAAGTTAGGAAGCTATGCTGGGGGGATTCTAGAAATTATGTTCAAATCAACAGAAACCTCCATCAGAATGGGAAGCTCCAGTGTGCTGCTTTCATCTTTTTCTGACCAAGGGGACTTTTCCCTGGCTGCTCAAATGTTCTACTTTTCTTAACTTCTCACTCCCTCCTACTTGATGAAATCAATGCATTACAGTAAATAAATGGTCAGATCTTAAGCCTTTTCTGTGACCTTCTCTGAACCTTCACCACACCTCTGTAGTGAAAAGAAGCCCAGGTCTGGGCTGGTCTCATGCATTGGTAGCTTTTATGATTGGCAGGGGAAGGAATAAGAGGGCTCAATTCCTTATTGTATCACCCCACCCATAGCCATACTAGATCTTCTTAGAAAAAGTCACTCGGAGCTTTTTTCCCCATTAAATACAGATTGACTTCCAGATAGTGAATGCTTTGTATTGTTATCACTTATACTCTGGACTGAATCCAAAACATAATTTTAGGTTTTTTGAGACTTAAGAGAGAGCATAAGGCACTAGATACTTACAGATTGAGAGACTGAAGGTATACCTGTAGGATGGGTGAGCATATTGAAGAGGCTGGGCTTCTTAAAACACAAAGAAACAAAAAACTTTCTAAGTTTAAGGAACTTAGATTGGCTCACTCAGCAATATGTTTTAGTATTTGTTTGCTTTGTCTTGTTTCTGATAAAAGGAATTTCCAATTATTGAAGAATAACCCATTATTTAATCTCTCCAGAAATTCAAGGAACATTCTTTTTTGTATCCTTCTTGCTACAGATCAATCTTGAGTAAATGAAATTTTGGCTATCCTAGCGAGGAGGACAATGAGAGTCTCTGTAGGAAGAGAAAATTCAAGTTCAAAAAATGGAAAAGAAGGAAAGAACAAAGGGCATCATAAAGATGAACATACAGAATGAGGCTACATAGCTAAATAAAGAAAAAGGAAAGGATTTTGAACTATAGTCTTTCCTAATCTTAAAAAACTTATGGTAGCAAACTTGTTTTTTAAGAGTTGTATTGTTTTAAAAGAATTTTCCTACAATATTTGGTGTAATAAACTTACTGTAAGTGACAAACAGTATGTGTTTGTTGCTTAGTCACTTATAAGTCTTTCCCTATTCAAAGATTTTTATGTTAGAAATTTAGATTTCTAAAGCTAATTAGATTTGGCAGAGAGAAGGCTTATCATATTGGAAATATTAAAGGTAATGCTGATTTTTGTGTGGTGTACGGGGATTTGTTGAGGTGAAATATAAGTACCAGGAAATCCCCAAGATCACCACTTGCAGGGCAGAAATATTTCATGTTTGTTAAATTAAGAAATGGCATTTGACATTGGGTTCTTCCTCCTTAACTCACAAGCTGCTGAGTTAACTCAAATCTGTACTAATTGGGGGTTTTGTTTGGCTCAAAATTATAGGCTTTACAAAAAAAGGCACAAATGTCCATATATTACACGCCATTCCTAATTATAAAATACAAATGACAGTACTGAATTGGCTCAGTTTCCCAATCCAGATATCACATGTGGTATTCAGTACAATAAAGACAAAATGTATTGAAGGTACTGGAAATATAAAACTCTCATTTGTCAAATATATTTCATACATTTCATCTTTGAGTTTCATATCATAGGTTTGTATGATATGAAACAAAGCCAATTTCATATTTATTCCATGTGACTAGAATGTGACCTCTTCTGAACCTTGAAGACCTTTGGGATTTTGTGACATTGAAAATTGTAGCATTGGCAGAGACATTTTATTCTTTTAATACAGCTCCTTTCTAGAGAGCTTATTAAGCTCAATGAGCTTGCCTCTGCTAGAACCATGGACTAGGAACTCAGAAGAAGTCCGCTGCTCTTTGGAAAAGGCATGAAAGGGGACTTTTATCTTCCTTCTGAAGGAAGATTTAGTCACCCACACACAACACCAGATATCCTAACCCTACTTACCTGGTATCAAGAATTCTCTACTATTGTGTTGTTAAAATGGACAACATGAGGAGAACATATCAGAATCAACAGGAGGCCAATATATTTTCAGGATTCCATGTCTTGGTCTATTCTGCGTTATATGGGCTAAAATAGAGATGGGAAAGGATTTTACTAACTGACAGTTATTCACTTGGGTGTCTATACCTCATCTTTCTCCAGAAAAAAATATTAAGTTGCTGTCAAGAATACAAAACACATCTAGTCCAGTCTCCTCGTTTTACACACATGAGGAAACTTGGACATAAGAATGCTCAAATGACTAGTCCAAGGTTCCTCAGCCCCCTAGTAACAAAGACAAAACCAGATTCCACACAACCTCTGTCCTATATTCCCTGCATTTCTATCTTACACTATTTCGTTCAGTTCCCAAATTTTCTATATAAAAATGAAGCTTGAATTTTCAACTCAGGCTTTGTGTTTGACATAGTCTCAGCCTTCTCAGGGACCTTGTTCAGTTCAATTGTT